TAGAGATCAACGCACATAACTTGGAACGTAGAGACACCTTCAAATACCTTGGCATTAAACTTAATCAAATTAGATATGTCTTGGTCGGACCAGATTGATGCCCTTAGCAAAAAAGTCAGCCAACGACTTGGAGTTCTGCGTCGTGTTAAGTATTTGCTGCCTCTACATGGTCGTTTGGCGATATATAACAGTCTCATTTTACCGTTATTTGATTATGCAGATATTGTATGGGGGGACAAGAACAATAATGTCCTAATGCATAATCTCCAGGTTTTGCAAAATAACGCAGCAAGAACTATACTGGATTATCCCAAATACTTTTCCGGTACCGAAGCCCTCGCACAGCTAAACTGGATGCCTCTATCAGAACGTCGACGCCAACATCGTTGTATTGGTATTTATAAATGTATAAATAAGTATATAAAATATCAATTCAACCTAGTTCAAAACGTTGAAATTCACTCCCACAACACTCGCCGCCGTCAGGATTTACATCTTCCACGCTCGCGTACTAACTGGGGAAAACAACGCTATATATATCAAGCAGTCGTTGATTGGAATAACCTTAATTTAGACCAAAGACAATCGAACAATTTGACTTCTTTTAAGAACTCTATATAAGAACTCTATATTAATTTAGACCAAAGACAATCGAACAATTTGACTTCTTTTAAGAACTCTATATACGATTTTAGCTGATATAATTTTAAACATACTTTTTATATATGATATTATAATGTAGTTTTATTTGTATTTTAATTGATATCGTTGGACCTGCCTGAAAATCACCTTGTTGTGAATGTAGCTTCCTACTGAAATATTGTAATAATAATAATAATAATAATATTTTGAATCAAGAGCATTTAGACATTATTATTTTACAATATTTCACAATATATAAAGTGTATCTTATATCGCATTCTCATGATGTTTTTATATCATTATATCAAACTAAAACCACCCTCAAATCACATATAATACATAAAGGAAACTATAAGTAAGTTATACTTCATAATTTAAAGTCATATTTAATGCAAAATATAATAAAATTAAAAAATAAATAAATACCCACACAGAACCCGGGTCACAGTGATTACTCAACCCGGATGCCTGTTAGTCAGACATAAATATATATATATATATATATATATATATATATATATATATATATATATATATATATATATATATATATATATATATATATATATATATATATTAAGTACTATTTAAAACACGAGTAGGAGTGTTTTATCAGATATATAACGCGAGCGCAGCCGAGCGTTATACTGTATATCTGATAAAACACGACAACGAGTGTTTTGAATAGCTTAAAATACGACTACAAAAGAATACTAATTAGGATGAACCATAGTATAATCATGCTAATTAAGATGAACAATTATATAATGCCACCGATGTGTTTTATCAGATATAAAGTCACTCCACGTGACATATTATGGCTGACATGATTTGCCACAAGGTTTATGAATTATTAATGAGTATTTTAAATATATTTATTGCAGCATTAAGCAATTCCAAACGTAACAACTGAATTAGTTAGCGGGTAATATACAACTTTAAACTTATTGTGCCTACAGAAACACATGCAGATTGTAATAAACACATGCAGACTGTAAAATCTCAAGCCGTTTTAACTTTTTTAGTATGCCCCAGTGGCGGTCTGTATACGAAACTAACGAAAGAATACAATTAATATAAGGCTATGTTTACATTGTATCGAATCGGTTTTTGCTTCGTTCACGAAACGTTACGGCCCAAGTGTAAACAGCTTCCGCCCTCGCCCATCTAAATACAAAAATATTATAAGTGAGCAGGCTATACCCGCAAATAAGATTAGAATAGCAAGTCTTTGTTTCCCAGATGCCATTTGAGTCACGTATTGAACCGAAAATTGCTCCGATTTGTGTTTACATTACAATGAGAGTGTTGCAAAAAGCGATCCGATACATCGCGCACCACTTCGAAGAGCGAACCGCCGCACCACCGGTCCGTTGCAGAAATTGAGATGATAACAACATTTCATATGTAAACAGGAGCCTTATCCGGTATGGTTTTTGCGTCGGACGCAAAGTGATCCGATACAATGTAAACATAGCCTAAAGCACACTAACAGTCATGGCTTATTATGGTTTACCCCTACAATAGCAAGGTACTATATAAAGAATTATAGTTATCTGAAGGCTTAAAATTTGTCTACTTGTAAAATTGAAATATTAATGGGTTTTCATAGTTTGTATTCAACGCTATATTCCCTTTTCACGACATAGTGCAATGCTAGTCCCATAAACATACTGTATAATTATTAACCATGCACTGATACAAAACCTGTACAGCATATATTTCAATATTTTAGAACGCTAACCGTACTTCACCACCCTATCTCTTTCCCACTTTAGAGTTTCACTGTATATAATTTGGTTTCTTTCACATTCTTGCATTTCTTTATTAATTAAAATGCAATTTTATTTTGAAACAGTTTCACAAAATATGTGCTCACCCATGATTGCAACTTGCAACTATCTAAAT